GGAAGGGTTTCACTTAACTAGGGCTTATGTTGGGGGTAGGGCTTATATTACGAGCATCCTGCAAAATCATACTAGGGCTTATTATCAGGTTAGGTCTTATTTTAGGGAAATCAGGCTAGATTTGTCAACATGTCCCATACTTTCATTTTGGATCTCTAAATGTATTGGTGAGGAGGTGTTGGTTAATTTTACTGATTATTATGAACTTGATTTACTTAGCATACATTTTAAAAATGTGTTTATTTCTTCACTGAGTAACTTTTGCACATCATCTAAACTTATCAGCTGCTTAATACTATGTTGTTTGGTTATCAAATGTGGTGAGTTTTGTTTTAGTGCCCTGGTAGCCAGAAGACTTCTAAGTTATGCTTGTAAACAAATGCAGTCATGTGAAAAAGAAAGAGCAACCTCTTTGAATTCTATGGTTTTATGTCATAAAAACCATCTGGTCCTTAGCAATGAAAACTATGTAAATACAACCACAGCTGAACACAACACATGACACATTACACAATGTATATTTTGCAAAAATAAAGCCATGTGTGAAAGACTAAGTATACCCTTACTGCTTCCATAGGAATTAAATGACTAAGTAGCAGCCAGGTGCTGCTAACGGAATGCCCTTGAGTAATTGATCATCAGTAAGTTTGAGCGCCTCTATAAAAGCCAAAGTTTTGGCAGTTTGCAGGTCTGGAGCATTCAGGTGTGTGTGTTAACAGATTGCCAAGGAGGAAGCAATCAGCAATGATCATGGAGAAGCAATTGTTGATTCCCATCAATCTGGGAAGGGTTAGAAGACCATTTCCAAACCATTTAAAGTTCATCATTCTACAATGAGGGAGAGTATTCACAAGTGGAAAACATTCAAGACAGTTGCCAATATGGAGTGAACATCCAAGCAAATTCACCCCAAGGTCAGACCGTGCAGTGCTTAGAGAAATTGCAAAAACAAAACAAAACAAAAAACCCCAAGAGTTACATCTCAGATTCTATAGGCCTCAGTTAGCATGTTTAATGTTAATGCTCATGACAGTACAATTAGAAAAAGACTGAATAAGTGGGATTTATTTGGAAGGAGAAAGCCTCTTCTCTCTAAAAAAGCACATGACAACATGGCTTTGGTTTGCAAAGCTGCATCTGGACAAACCACAAGACTTCTAGAACAATGTCGTTTGGACAAATGAGACCAAAGTGGAGACGTTTGGCCATAATGCAGAGTGCCACATTTGGCAAAAAAACAAATATGGCATATCAGCACAAACACCTCATATACACTGCCAAGCAGGGTGGTGGAGGGGGAGATGATTTGGGCTTGTTTAAAATGTGTGCAATATATACAAGTGTGCAATTTTGTGTGTTATTGATAGTTTAAGTGCCAGTTAATGAGAAAGGGATGGACTTTGGGGAACTTGTAGCTATTCTCTTCTGTAGATCTCTGTCCTTCTACAGTGTAATAAAAATAGGGAATTTTGCCTGAAATCAAAAACTCTGCAGCATGTTACATGGCTTTTGACACACTTTGTTCTCTCTTAATGGTCATCTAATAGCTTTAGGATGGGGGTGCAGCTGGGTAGTAGTGACATTCATCCCTCGCCTCTCTAATATGTTTCTATGCAGCTATATAACTGGGTTATTAAAAGAACTCAAAAACTTTAAAACCTGTTTGTTTTTTGCTTTTCTCTTTTTATTCCATTATCCTTTTATGTTGTGTCTTTTAGAGTGTAAGCCTTAGGGCAAGCACTGTTCTCTTCATTGATCAGTAAGCCTGTTTAATTGAAGCCCATGGTAAACATGTTTTTTAAAATGTGTAACAACAATAAGACCAAAGGAACTGTGGCAGCTCAGAGACTCATATAGCTATTTCAGTATGAGTTTTTGTGGATTACAGCCTTTTTCCTGAGAATTCTTTGTGTCTGAGGAATTGAATTGGAATCTACAAAAGCTCATAGTGGAAGAGAGCTCAGTCTTCCAAGGTGCCATCATTCTTGTTTTTGTTGTTGTTATGCATGCTGAAACAGACTAGCACAGCTACCTTGCTGAAAAAACACACATCTTTTTATATAAATGAGTACATAAATACGTAAATATCCTTTATATTTATCAAATTGTAATTTTACTGCAGTTCAAGCAATGCAGACGAGTTACAGACATCCTCATAAAATGAAAATTGATACATGTTAGCAGGAAAACTATTTGTACAGTCTTTGTCACTAGTAAAATTACTTGGGATATTGGAAATGTATTCTACAAGCATCCATTTGTAGACTAAGGAGTTCATTTTAGTCAGTTGAGCTTCAGAATGAGATCCTGAACAGTCAACCCATACCCTATAACACATGGCATTTTAACAGCAAGATGTACATTGTTGGTTTGTAAACAACATGTGTATTAATAAAAAGTACTTCCTTTCCTCCATTATGTTTGCTGAAAGTCCCAAATGTGAATATGTTGACAAATTGTTGTTTCTTTCAGATAGAGGGTGGGCATGGATGGGCAGGTCATACTTTTCAAATGACAGCAGTTATATATCTGCTTTTTGCTGATTGAGCTAATTCAGCAAATGTTTCTGAACAATGGTTAGAAATACTCATTTTTAAGTGCACACAGAGAATTATATCAACTAATGGAATCCAAAGTCTTACAAATGTGCTCTGTTTTAATGCTATAATGACAACACTATTGTATCATTATTTGAATTGCAAATACTGTATGGAGTGGCTTACTTGGGGAATATACTGTAGTGCAAAGAAATGGCAAAATGTATCAAGTAATAAGACTTCTTGAAAGTTGTTCAAGTTTATACTGGAGTTAATACTGTTTGGTGTGCTTTGGTTTCCCAAGCAGTAAGGATTTTCAGTGCAGCACTGCAGGAATGAATACTGCCAATTTATGATGCCCTCGCTATACAGTACTTGTTTTCATCTACAAACATGCAAGCTGACCTTAGTAGAAGCAAGCATGGTCCTCTGAGCTGAAATCCAAAGTGCTTCATCTCTCTGCTTTTTCCTGCCGCCTGACTCAAACTGTGAACTGCCATAAAAATGTTTTCTTGCACTCATCCTCTATGCTACAAAGTCTAGGTTTATCAATGAAAATAAAGTTGTTTTTTTCCAATCCAAGATCCTCATCAGGCAGTTTCTTAGATATAACCAGATGTCTTCCTATTCACAAATTAAGATGGCCATGAGCTACAATAAAACTGAAATTCAATCAGTTTCCAGTTAAATGAGAAATACTGCAAATATTAACATAGAACTATAGTTCAAAACATACAGTTAAATCCATAATCATAACCTTTATTGGCATAAGAATATACAGCAAGCGGCAGTCCACAGATAGATGGGGGATATATACCCTGTATGAAACAGATCAAAAAGCCTCAATGAAAGCAGAATTTAGCAGTACATAGTTTCAAGGGAACACCTACCCATTATCCATAATCTGTAATTTATAAACAAAGGAATAATTAATTGCATCCAATAAGGTTAGATGAGTGGGTTTGTTAAAAATTGAATTCTACTAATAAATTTGGCCATCTGTCTGATGTAGGTTTTATTCACACCTACCAGAAGATTGTACAAAACTGCCTCTTCTGCTCATTCATTAAAACTGAGAAGGATCTATTCCACGTTTGAAGAGTGTGATGATGGTGGTGATGGTGTTGGTGATGCTGCTGCTGCTGATTTACAGTGAAGTCCGGACTTAGAATTATTTTGGACAGACTGCCGAAGTCATGCTGTGTGTGCGTTTTTGTGTGCTATATGTTGTCAAGACAGAATGTCTGACTTGTAATGATCATTATAGGGCTTTCAAGGTATCTGAAATGTAAAAGGTTTTCCCAGGTCCACCCCTCTCCTGCAGTGAATTTCCATGGCCAAGTTGGGGTTCAGACCCAGGTCTCCTGAGTCCTAGTCCATTGCTTTATCTGCTGTACTTCCCTGGGCATCTTATTGAAGTCATTACCAAGTGAAATTGCATTGATTTCAGCCATTATATTCTGAATACAGTGGTGCCTTGCAAGACGATTGCCTCACGGAACGATTAATCCGCAAAATGATTGATTTTTGCCATCACTGGTCTGCAAAATGATTGATTTTTGCCATCACTGGTGCGCTTCAAAAGAATGTTTTCGCAAGACGACAATTTTTCCCCTTTGGAACGCATTAAATAGATTTCAGTGCATTTCAATGGGGAACCGCGTTCTGCAAGACAATGTTTTCTATGGACAATTTTTGCAAGATGATTTTTTTCCATTGAAACGCATTAAATAGATTTCACTGTATTCCAATGGGGAACCGCGTTTTGCAAGACGATATTTTTGCAAGACAGCATTTTTCACGGAACAATTAACATTGTCTTGCGAGGCACCACTGTATGAGTAAGTTTGGATCCAACCAACAGCCATACTTAGTTTTCATTCTTTATCAGTTACAAGGAGGACTGATCTTCTGTTGTACGAATGACAATGTTAGACAGAAATGGGGAAATATGAGTTATACAAGCCAAATTCATTTAAACTGATGGTCTGATAATGCTGTTAAAAACCACTTTTATCTTTAGCAAAGGTTCCCAGATTGGGGAGGATTGTTCTTGAACTGCACTTTTCAGTCACCCTGAATATTGACTGTGCCAACTAGGGCTTCTAGAAAGTGTGGTCTAACCCAGTTCTTTAGAGCAATGTCTAGCAATAAAGTTTAGAGCTTCTTGCCATATGACTTGTTGTCAATATGTTAAGAATTTCTGTTATGGTGGTAAGGAGAAATGTGGAAGATCATAACATTATTTGGGTAGGGAAACAATGTAAATGTTATGACTGGATGGAAGTTTCTCAATGTGTCTACCATGTTTTCCAGTCTGATTTGTAAGATTGACAGCTTGTTGCTATTAGCTCTTTGTCAGCAAATATTTTTCTGTTCCCTACACTTAGTGTGCCACGTATGATAATTATATCTTTTTTCTTTTTTGTGTTCTTTTTGTTTTTTGCTGCGTGCCCTTTGCAGGAAGTCGAGGTTTGTATATTCTTTCTGTATTTCTGGGCTTTCTTTTCCTTGCATGTATTTCTTTTCTGTATATTAAATATACACTTTCTTCTTCTGCCACAGGATGATTATTTTCGCACATGGAGTCCACCTAGACCCTTTGATCAAGGTAAGAAAGCATCGTCATACAAATAAAAAAAAAGGGGGGGGAACTGTCACTGTAAAAGTTTGTTATATATGAAAAAGTATGAAAACCTCATGTTTTTCTCTTCTCTACAGTGCTTGAGTAGTAAGGGAAATATTCACGATCTGTTCTTAGTAACCTTCATCATAATACACTTGCCAAAGGAAAATTTAAAACTTAAGGTTTATAAATAAACCTCCCAGGTATGATCACACTTCAGCTTTAATGAGCTGAAATTCAGGCTGAGTTCAAAATCTCATATATAGAGATATCTAGAAATAGCTACACAGGTCCAAAATAGATACTACAATTGTCACATATTTTCCGCATGTTTAGTTGACTTTTTGTAAAAGAAATAATCTACCATTGTCAGCAGGCGGCTATCTGATCAGGACGATGACATATAAGCAGTGTGTTTTTGTGGCTGAGCCTTTGACTCTGGTGCATTTATGAGTGGAATCCCTCCATGTACTTTGCAATGGAAGGAAACCTACAGTGCATGATGTCTAGTGCCTCATAGGCTTGGCAGGGCAAAGCCAAGGAGGTCTCCAAGGGTGAAGTCAGCTACATTTTTTTGCCATCTACTGTTATCTCTTCTAACGGTCTTGTGAATAATGCATTACTAATAGTTTGCATACATTGAAGAAAAAACACAAACAACCCTGTGTACAAATTTAAAGAAGTTGTGTTCTACAAAAAGGGAAGCTGCACTGTAAGATTTCATCAAAGATTGCTCACATATTCCCTAGAGGATCTTTGCAACAATGAGGTCTAGAAATTTGCTTCTTAAAAAATTGAATGTGAGATTTTAAAGAATTTGAATTCTTCACCAATGCTACCTAAGGTGATAGATTAGAAAGATCTCTCTCTGTGTTGCTGTTTCTTAAGGTATATCTTAAGGTACAGTGGTGTGCAGTACACTAAAGACTATGAATACAGGGGTCCTACTGTAATGTAGAATAATGTAAATGGTGTACATGGATTGACCTGTGAAACAGATTCCAGAATGATGTTTATTCTGTGTTCTGGCAATCTTAACACCCAGCCCCTCTTATGAGGAAAAGCTGGCTTGGCAAAAAGCAGTCTTACTTACAAAAATTATATTGTCTTCTTTTTTGTTTTGTTTCTTTTAGAGATTATGTCAGGATGCAAATTTATTTTTTATTTTTTAATTTTTTTATTTGATTTTTACCCCGCCCCTGTCATGTCAGGATGCAAATTTATTTTTTATTTATTTATTTTTTATTTGATTTTTACCCCGCCCCTCTAGACCATGTCTACTCGGGGCGGCTTACAAAATAAAACAAAACAGTATAAAAATATATAAAATCATAAAATTACAAATTTCAGTTTAAAACAATTAATTTAAAGAAAGGATTACCAAGATGGAATAGCCGGAAAAAAAGAGAGAGAGAGATGGAAGGATGGAAGGAGGCTGAAACATACTGTTCTGCACCAAACATACATGCAGGCACGAGTATTGCTGAAATAACTACTCTGCTTAACTTTAGTTAAGTTTGTGCTTAACTAAAACTTACTTTATGCATATCTACAAAAGGAATCTTATAAAAACCTTACCAGCAGGCAGATCATAGTAAATAAATTCAGACTTGAGTACAAGATGGAGGAAAGGAAAATCTGTCTGAATTCTGCACTGGCACCTGTTGTTCTTGCTTGGTTTCAAGTGTTGACAACCCTAGCAAGTTACTTTCTGTGCCCACTTGATCTCTCTCTCTCTCTCTCTCTCTCTCTCTCTCTCTCTCTCTCTCCACACACACACACACACACACACACACACACACACACACAGAGAGAGAGAGAGAGAGAGAGAGAGAGAGAGAGAGATAGAGAGAGAGAGAGATAAAATGGTGACAAATGTATATATAAGGCACAAAGAGAGACGGGGATAGAAGGAGGCTGAAACATACTGTTCGGCACCAAACATACATGCAGGCACGAGTATTGCTGAAATAACTACTCTGCTATATAGACATTTGCTCAGATGAAGAAAGCATAAATTTGTTCCAGTTCCTTGCTAACAGACTATTTCCCCAACTTTGTAGATGACATGTGCAACCCCAGCAGTAGAGAAAATGCCCACTATCCATTTTCTACCTGCATGCCTGAAGAGACAGGAGGGGAAAAACTGAAACAAAAATAGAATTGATTGCGAGGGCAATCTGGGGCAAGGGATGTTTATTATTTTGTTTCAGAGGGCGCTCCAGGCACTCATGACAGAACACACATCGGCTTCATTACTCATCACTGTACCAGCCATTTTGTGCAGGTGCTGAAACAACTATAAAACAGATATAGCAGAAAAAAGCTGCTTCCAACACCAGGATGTCCAATCCTTTGCTGGCACTTTTGTTCTGTTGCATCACGGCACTTTGTTTTTCTTTGTATGGGTAGCAGAAGAGGCTAGTAGGCTCCACCTGCCTCACTCCCATCTTCTTTTCTTCTCAGTCCAGGATCTATGGGATGTTTCCCTCCCAATCTGAATATCATGCATGGATTGCAGTTCTAAACAGAACCACAGTAGATGGAAAGGGTTGAAGCCTTCACCCTCCATGGCTTGATGCCTCCCTTTCCTGTTGCTTAATTTTTTTTAATAAATTACACAACAAATTTCATATCTAATTTGGTGCTTTGACCATTTATTTAGTAAATTACACAAGAACAAATATCATATCTAATTTGGTGCTTTGACCATTTATGGTGTTTCGTATATTACTTTCTTCTAGATGTAATTGATGAAATATGCTTTTAATGTATTGGCATAACTCCAGTTGTTAGCCTCAGCTGGAGTATTGATCCCACAGGATGTGTAGGAATGCTAATATACCATTAAGCTATTGTATCAATGGGTCTACTCTGCCATCCCCATAATAAACACAGTGTACGTAGATGATCCTCTTCAAATTGTGTTTAAGCAGGCTTGTAGCCCATATGAGCAAATGTGTATTGTTCCTAAAGTCAACCTCTTTTTATATTTGCTTAACTTTTCTTCCAGGATATTAGATTTTTTTTAAAAAAAATGTACATGAAACTTAGTGACATTTCTTCATTAAGCCCTTAAGTGGTATGTGACTGTTGAGGCCTGCTCTTCTCAGGCAAATGTTAGTTTTTTCAAAAATAAGGATTTCATTATTATTTTCGTAAACGAAAGTAATGACCACAGAGTGTTCTTGTTTCTTCAAGAAAAGAAAAGAAAAAGACCTTGATGTACATGCCTTCAACATTCTGTTGGAGATTGGACTTGATGTATTTTTTGGTGTTACAATGTATGACTTTTTACCCTCTCTGTGATGAGAGCAAGTACTGTATATGATTGGTATATTGAAGCTTGGACAAGGGCTGTATATTTGCGAACTGAGTTGCTATTAATGCATTTGATATACTGTAATGGGATAGCTTTATGTGTTGGAAAAATACATTGTGATGTCCTTTTTATATATAATTACATTAGATTGAATATTTATTCTAAAGTTATTCCTAACTTTGTTTATTCCTTTATTGGACCATAAAATTGAGTTGCATGGTGTTCATTTGTACTATAGCAAGATATATTTAGAGTGTTTAGAATGAGGCAGTAGTCTTATTTTGAGTCAGCTGGAATTCTGTTTCTTGGCAGAACATCTGAAAGATTCTGTAGATGTATAGAAGATAATACAGTAAATATTTTCAATCACATTTTATTTATTTATTTATTGTCGCATCCACTCAGTGTCCCTTGTCTACAGTGGGGTCTTGACTTAAGAACGGCTTGAGTTAAGAACATTTTGACTTAAGAACCGCTCTCATAGGAAAATATTGACTTGACTTAAGTACTTAGCAGTAAATATTTTCAATCATATTTTTTTTATTTATTTATTGTCGCATCCACCCAGTGTCCCTTGTCTATTCCTTAAACATAGGTTCATCCTCTGGAAGCGTTTTCTCTTTACACGCTGCCACCAAGTAGTATACACACAATACTAAATACGTATTTCAGACACGTGTGCTGCCAACCCTAACAGGTTTATTGAACTTTTACGTTTGAGAATCACAGGAGTAAATTATAGATGCTCTTCGATTGTTATGTAAATCACAAATGGAAATCACAGATGTTCAGGATCATTCATTAAATAGGATTCGGTTGTGCATAGGTTTGATTGTATTTTTTTCCACAACAACAATATACTTTTACTAATTATCTATTATCTATTCCTTATAACTCTTTTGCTATTCTCTTTATCACCCCAGCTGTCCAATCTATGTATTAACCTTCTCAATTCAATCTCCTAACTCTTCCTCTTCAAATGCCTATCTCCTACTCCTCTCTAACTCCATAACTGTCCTTCTAACTCCTCAACTGTCTCTTTGACTCCGCCCCTCCTGCCCTATCATAGGTTCCTGCCTTTTTAGCTTACATGATGGACAGACTGGAGTGACGTGGTGCGATGGCATTCCGCCACATTTATTTGTTTGTTTGTTTGCTTGCTTGCTGCTAAAATGGCAGTCGAGGGGAAAAAAATTCCCCATCTTATATTATGCTCTGATCATTCTTCCAACTACTATATTATTCTCTTTTGCTGTATAGTTAAAAAATAAGCCAAACAACCAAGTAAACACATCTGTGTACTCTACTGCCTAATATGAGAATATATTGAAAAAAGAAACAAAAAGAAAGACACAAAAGCAAAGGCATGAGATTAGACATTTTTCTTGCTAGTCCGCCCCCATACTGGTTCTCTCTGAAACTAAGCTAGATTTTTTTCCATCAAGATATCCTGGATGGCAGGTATCCCACTTATATTTTTGCTGATAACATGTCAGCAAAACTGCCATCGTAAGTATTTTAAAGGAATAAGTTAGAATCTTTTCTTTATTCAATTTAAAGTGTATTGGAACTTGTTATTCTACCCCAACCTGAAGAATAAATATGTTATAAGAACCCTCAAATGCAGTGATTCATGAGATTAGTTCTTGAGCTTTTCCAGTTG